ACCTTGGAAGAGTCTTGTGTACCTCTAGCTGGTACACGAAATTTTTTCCTTGTGTACTGGCTCATTTCTTACATTACCATCTTATTGAGCGGCATAAAATGACACCAAAGCTCTTTAACCTTTTCAACCGTTTGGGTCGACATTCTTTCAGATCTTTCATTCGATGGCCGGATTCGGTTACTATCTGGTCTTTCTGGGTGCGATCTGACGCACCACCACGACCAGACGGTCGACAAAAATAACACTAAAGGTCATAATCCTAATGCAGTATATTAACATAATAGTAGTATATTAACTAAGGCCCATTTTGTTACGATTATTTGGACCTGCCAAGAAGATCAAAGACATCAAAGGTCAAGCATAGGTCAGCAAAGAACGGAAAAGACCGGAAAACAATGACACGGATGCCACGTTTTATGGATCTTCGTTATGACCCTATTTACTTTTGATGATTGGTATCCTTCTAGGTCAGAGGGCGTTCACTTATCACGGAATTCTAATAAGAATTCTTGTAAATCACGCATCACGCGCTTGCAAAATAGCAAATCACGCATCACGTTGTGATGTCCGATCCCGCGTCCTGCTCTTTGGCCCGACTCAATTTTCGCACTTAGCATCTTTTTTTTCGCATGAAGCAGATTGCACATTGCACGGGCATCTGGGACAGAAAGAACAACGGTAATCCACTTAAAAGATGACGGATAATGACAAGGAAAAAGAACCTGAGCACTAGTTTTAAGCGAGCGCTCTTCGAACTCAGTTAGTGTGGTAAGAGTCGTTGATCAATTGTTCAAATGTTTTAAAGTCCTCGATTGATTCTCAGACACTCACCTCTCCGATTTCTTTCATTCCTATAATTTATGGTTCAAGGATTTCCAACACAATTTCTAATTGAACGGAGCAGTCACAAGATCTGAAAATAATTGACACACACTTTCAAAAAATGTCAATCATCCATCTCGAGTGACTCTTTTCCAGAACGGAAGCACACTGTAATATTAGCTGAGATGGTAGCGGGTGATTATGTTAAAAAAACACTCTTCCTAAAAGATCCATATGGTTAATTTCTCGCTTCGTCGATTGGCATAGGTCCAATTTCCTAAGAAATGTTTTGCATTAAAAAAGATTTACGCGCATTATGTATAATCGAGTTTTATCAACCAACTAAATCCCAAAATAACTAATTCAAGTACGAAAGCAACTGAGAACCTCATAAATAATAAAGGAGTGGAGTATTTGAACGGAGATCAAACTTGAGCTGTCATATTTAGCGTGATGTTTCCTTTATGTTTGAAAAACTCACTGTGGCTGTTCGCTAGAGTTCTAACTGGTGTTTTCTAAGAACATGCTCTCTGTACTCTACTACTTCGTTCCGATGTTTTGGCCTCCCTAATATCGGAAGGACGAGGTAAGATTTTACCACAATTATGACTTTGTTATGGTTTGAGTATATTTCAAAGTTTACAGTTTTAAAGTAATCGCATAACCTTCTCCTACTAATATCAAATATAATTAATTGTTTCATCTAAATTAAAAAAGGAGGGGTGCTTATTGGAGTATCTTAAAGCAAAATTAACTTTAGAAAAGAAAAACAGTCGCCGTCTCTTCAATGAATTGAAGTCTAGGGACGTTTTCGACTTTTTTGATCATGCACGATAGATGAGTAGAGAGGCTCATCTAAACTCAACCAAAATGACTTGTCTTGTTAAACTTAAAACTTTGCACAGGAGTAAAGCTTTTTAATTATTGGTAAAGAAACCTTTTAGTTCGTCACAGCGAGCAACATAACGCACTTGATCGTGTCTGTGGAAAAACCTGACTCTTTACAATCTGGCTCCAAAGTTGATCTACATGTTGGTTGATATTTGAAAAAACCTAAATCGAGGACTGAATTCGTGTATTCGAGCGAGTTGGTAGAGCTATGGCATAAGTTATTTATGATCCACCGCAGAAAAAAGGTTCTTGATTAGCTGGAGGCAAAAACGGGTGGTTCAAACAAAAGAGTTGATTAACAAAGACGACAGTTGACAGTTAAGGATTTTTTCCTTATATCGTACGCAATTATACCCTTATGGTGTAATGCTCAAGAATAAATTTCAGCGTTTCGCCTTTTAGTGATCGTTAATGTACAGTATGCAGTGAAAACTTTTGTTACATCCTTAGAAGTAGAAAGCCAGGACCTAAATTACGTACCATGGAGTTGATATTAATACGCAATTTGGTCAAAAGCGACATAACAACAACCGCTTCTCATGAATTGACACAATAAAAACTTCACGACACGTTCCGATAATAACCCTTTTTTTAAAGAACCGAACATGCTCAGACGAGAGGACCATTATCACGTGATAAACGCGATTCACTCTATGTAACAACAAAGGTGTTTATGGATTTCGGCAACAATCGTTCGATCACGATAGCTGATCACAACCAAGTCAGCAGTAACACTGCTCTACAATTCCAGTCTCAGTAGAGGGGTTCAATGTGACATAGCAACTTTCTTAATACAATCGTTCACCAGGCAACTGCCGCAATTTGAAGTTTACCAGTTTTCCTAAACCTGGCT